ATATATATATATATAATTTATTCTCTGCTGGTTTTTTTACGATTTTACACAGGAAAATTTTAATTTTCTTTTAATATCAATATTATTTTTATTTTTTAACAAAATCAATGTAGGAAGTTGGTTGCAATCATGCACAGAGTGTTGGGTTTTCTACTGATGGTTTTGCCACAACCACCACCATGAGAGAACTTCGTCTTATATGGGTCACTTCTCGTATGCACATTGAAATATATGAGTATCCTGCATGGTAGGTAGTTGGGTTTTTTTAAACTTGACTTATTTGATCTTTGTTCTTTGTTTTGAAGCTATTATGTATACTTTGTTTTAGGGGTGATGTTGTTGAGATTGAAACTTGGTGCCAAGGAGAAGGAAGAATTGGCACAAGGCGCGATTGGATTCTCAAAGATTTGGCTACTGGTTTGGTTATTGGCAGAGCTACAAGGTACTTCATCCGATAAATCTAACATTTTGTGACCTTTTTATATTTCATTCATATCTTGAATGTACAAACTGTGAGATAATTGTTCAAATCAAACAATTTTGGGCATGGATTTATTTCAATGTTCACGGTATAAAATTGTTCAAACTCCTAGTTCAAACTCCTAAGCCGATGTTAAGCTCATGATCGTTTATGTTAATATGGAATTACATGAGCGGCTTGCATGAAACCTTTTATGGTAGAGGATTCTTGCTGGCCACTCATGAATTTCTTGGTTAGAATGTGGGTTAATGGAACCAAAGAGCATTTTTCATATTAATCAGCATTGTTTTTGTGGTATTACCCACCACCTTCCCAAGCAGTTCGCATCACAAAGATTATCTATTGAAATATGATACTGTAGGGTAGAAACTGTTTTATAGAAAAGGAAGAAGTTGTTCCTTTTAGTTCATTCTGATGCACACTCTTTGATGCAACACAATATTGTCAAGTTAATGATATTTATGGTAGAATCCAAGACATTTGTGTGGATAAAAAGATAGTCATCTCTGCAAGCATTGCATGACTAGAATACTTTTTATGTTTCCATACAAATGTTGAAATTTAATTTTGTTATTTCTTTGGTATTCTTTTTTATTTTATTTAGTTATGTTAATTTTGCAAGGGTGGGAAAAGAGAAATAAATTATGTTTTACCACTGTGCATTTAAAATTTAATGCTACTCATGCATTATTATACGAGAAGTTGCCTTAAAGTCATTTTGATCATTTGGATGTAACCTTGTGATACCGTTCTAGGGCTCCTAAAAAGTATTCTGGGAGTAGATTTAGAGGGGAGGAGGTTGTGGAATAGCAAATGAATGATTTTATGCGAGGGCTTGAAGTAGAATAAACAATGAAATCTGCTGTCGAACAACAAATTTGCATTGTTCAATGGCTGTTCTAGTGAGGCAACCGATGAAACGGCATAGTGCGGGCAGCGAGGAGGTTCAGCACTTGTTCCCGAGGAAGATACAAAAACAACACTTGCAAAAGGAAGAAGATACAACATTAGCAAAAAATCAGACAAGATGATCTTCATAATACTCAAACAGAGTAAAAGTCTTACTTAAACCAGAAAACAATAACACAAATAGTTTCCTAGTAGAAAATAACCTATTTTGAAATAGAGAAATAGGAAATAAAAAAATTAATAACTAAAGGAATAGGAAAAAATAAAGAAGGAAAGAAATATGCTAAAAATAGGAAATTTTGGGTGTCTTTATTGGTTGAACTGTAGCTGAATCGCGGCTTCTCTCACGATCTCGCTTTCTGTGGTCCTCGGTCCATGGAATTGAGGAGTTCCTTAGAGCAGATGCTCTGTGTCATTCTCTTGGGTTTGGAGAAGCTTCTTCTTCCTCTATGGAAGGACCTCGTTCGCTCATTTTTGCAAAAGTCATCGTTTCATTGTCATCAACACGGTCGATTTCGCTCGAAAAGGTATAAAAGAAAGGGATTGAATTATTAAAATTAATTATTTTATAAAATTAGAGTTTCTTTCTAGGGAATTAAGTACTGTTCAGGAAAATTGTATACTCATTTGGAGAAATTTTTATAAAAAGTAGGGAAATTTAAGTACTCATTTTTTATGCCTGAATATCTGTCCAGAGAATTAAGTTCCGTTTAGGGAAAGTTAAGTACCTATTTGAGGAAATTCATGTTTGTTTTTGGTTTTTTTAGGTTAATTGAAGACCCAACATGTATTTTAAGATCGGTGGGTTAACAAAAGACGATATTTGAAAATCTTAAGGTGAACATCTGCATGCATCAATGTATTCAAATAAAACATTAATATAACTTCAAATCTTAAATATGTCTTTTAAAACAATTCTTGATTTAGTTCACGTTTTAAATTTATGTAAATTATCTTAAGATTTGCAAAGTTATTTAAGATAACTAAATATATGAAATTAAACGCATGCATGTGCTCCAACAAATCTATTAATGTTTAAATTTCAACGCTTTCCTGCGCGAGTTAAGGTTAAACATTCACTCGCTTGATATGGTAAGTGTGCAAAATTCTTTTAAGAAAATTTAGGATTATTTTAAAGTTAAGGCCCCTTATATTTTGAAAAAATTAAATTAAAGATAATAAAATCATGCATGCTTTCAACCGGGCCGTCTTGTTTATCGGAAAGAGTTGCAAGTCCAAGTTAATTAGTCCAATCCTCCTTTTCTTAAGGGTTGGAGTTGACGAGTTTGATATTTTTCACAATGTCCAAATAACAAATATAAGAATTTGCAAGTCCAAATCATCTAGTTCAATCCTCCTCCTCGTAAGGACTGGAGTTGACAAGAATAATATTTTACAAATATGCAAGTGTCAAATATCAAATGAATTTCAAACTTAAATGCTTCAAATACCCAAATCCTAGATGATGATCGTGTGACTGAAAAAATCAACTGGAGGGGCAACTTGTAAATTAAGATTTTCAAATCTAATTTTCAAAGAAAATAAATCAAAACATTTAAAGTAAAATTAATCACTTACAATAGTCTTAAAACGAATGTCATACACCCTCCACAACAGTTTGTCGAGGGTGCTAATTTTTTTGGTTGAGTTTAACTCATAATGAGTGAATCACACAGAGTGTATCCTTATATTCACACTCAAAGCAATTTCACATCAGTAAGGATGTGACCCGATTCATCTGTCTGCATGGTTTGCCCTAACCACTCCACAAAAAATAACTGTTATGATCAGATCCCTTTGATTGGGCGGTTCACCACCAAACGACTCTATTATAATATGGTCATGGTTGCGTCCCATATGTTTCCCAAAGGCTTTAAACCATTTGAGTTGTGAATCATAAGGGTATATTTGATTGAGGTAAAGTTTTCTGTCAACTAAAACTGATTTAAATGTGTCACCTTAGACAAATATCCACCCTAGATCTATAAGGGTCTCTTGGACGACGTAATTCCCATGGTTGTTGACAATGATTTTTATGTTAGGTTGGGTCGATTATCTTATTTGACTAAATATATCCGAGACCATGATGACCCAGGACGACGAAACTTTGAGATCTTGATTGAGTTTATCAATTCTTTCCTCCATCCATTTTAAGCTAAAGGTGATAAATTCTATAATTTAAATCCTAAATTTGTTACTATTATATGTTGAATATTGTGCTTAATGACTAATCTTAATTAAAAGTGCTCTCCAATTATTGGGATGTGTAATTAACCATAGGAGCTTGTGCCTATGAAAAACCTTGAACTCCATATCAAAAAGTCCTCACAAATCAGGCTTAATTTTATATGTAGTGTCTTATCTATAATTCAATCTATCTTCTCAAACATCAACGAGAGTCCGAGGTGCGAATTTTTGGAGCCCACGGGATAAATTATAACCTACCTTAAATTTTCACGGAGAAGCTATTTATGTGATTATTTCATCTCTACGGCTCTCCATGGCTCCCTTGAATTGACCAAAATGCCGTTGATGTGCCTGGTCTAAACACTAATGTGTGACTAACATTAAATTTTTTATGCAAAAATGTTAAAATTTGCATGCAACAATTTTTTTTCCTTCACACTTACAACGTTTAATCATAGCTCTTAAACTGACTGGAAAATAATAAAAATAGTTTCCAACATTTTCATGAAAAATGTAAAAGTATGCTAATCGTGCAAATACATATGCGGTAGGTCATTCATTTAGCCTCACTAATGTCCTCCATACTTCATTAAATTTTATTTATTTGCTTTTCTGTGCTGCATCATTCTTTTGCCAGAGGAATGTTGTTGGATGTTTCATATATGCAGTGAGTTGTTAAAGATATTATTTTTATTATTTTAAATTGTTAATATTATTCACGTTATTTATTGCTTTGCTGCTACAGGTCAGGATAATTGACTTCTTTAGGAAGATTTGTATTTCAGTTCCGCTTTTGTTGATGGTTATAATAAGAAATGATGTCAGTAGTGGTTGATTAAACTAGATGAGTTGATTAAACCAGAAAATGGCAGAATAATCTACTATGCGGCATTCTCATCAAATCTTCCTATTCCTGTTCTATTTTAATGATATCTTCACAGTGCTTGAGCTTCATTTGCTTAATTATTTTTACTTAGGAATTTACATATGTAGCACACAATTCTTACATATTTTTGATGTGATATGAAAGATTTGAGTGCTACACGGGTAAATATGAAAGTTTGGGTGTGAGATGCAAATTCATAAGGATTTTGTGCTATGTATGTAAATGCACCTTTTTTACTTTTATCCTTTCTATACAAAAATGAGATTGGAAATAATTGTCTATCACAGATCTTGGCTATTTTTAATATTGAGTTGCTCTGATTCTCACATTTGGTTTATGTTTCATGATCACAGCAAATGGGTCATGATGAATCAAGACACTAGGAAGCTTCAGCGAGTAAGTGATGAAGTGAAGGAGGAATATCTTGTTTTTTGTCCGCAAACGCCCAGGTAATATTTGCTAGATTTTTTTTTCTTTCATTCTGTTTACTTCTACTCAATGTCAGGAAATTCATTTTCTTTTTTTTTTTAAAATGTAAAGAATTGTTTTGAGATAAAAAACCTATTCATTTCATTAAAATTTGGGCTTATTTAGAGTTTTAAAATATTTAAAAATAAATCCCTAGATTTTTTCTATTCATAAATATAACCCTACATTGGATACAAATCTCAACACTCTCCTCCCTCAAGATGAGCAAAAAATATCCACTAAGCCCGTCTTGTCACACAACATAGACATATCTAATGAGCTAAGTCCTTTAGTGAGGCAGCCGACCACTTGTTCTCTAGTAGCTAAATGAGTAGCTCCAGTAGATCGTTTTTCAACTTTTCCTTGATGAAGAGCCTATCAATCTCCACATGTCTGGTTCTATCATATTGCACTAGGTTATTGGCAATGTTGATCGCTGACTTGTTGTCGCACCACAACTTCATTTTAGCTCCTTGGTCCACCTTGAGCTTTACTAACAATGCTCTCAACCACATCATCTCAACAACTCCAAGGCCATGGCCCTATACTCTGCCTCTGTTGTTGACCTCGCTACTACTGACTGTTTCTTGCTCTTCCAAGAGACCAAGTTGCCCCTACAAACATGCAGTATTCAGATGTGGACTTCCTGTCATCCGTAAAACTCGTCTAGTCAGAGTCACAATAGCCCTCTATGCTTACATGTTCATTCTTTCTGAAGATCAACCCATTTCCCGGTGCACTTTTTAGGTACCTCAGAATCTGATATATTGCATCCATGCGTCCCTTCCTTGGATATGTAGCGACTCACCACACTTACTGCAAATGATATGTCGGGACGAGTGTAGATTTCCTACCAAATGATATGTCAGGAGAAGAGCTGAATCATATCGCCTGTGTAATCAAATTCTGAGATGGATGGTGTAGGTGTCTCAAAAGTCAGGGTAGACTGGAACAAGGGACATGTTGGCACGAGTGGCGCGACAGATATTGTTCCCTCATTCTGCCTTTTTCTCCTTGTATACACCCTCAGCTCCACTTGAGCTTGAGTCCCACCATTTTCGAGCTCATTTTTCTCATTTTCCAGCTCTTCCTCAGTCGAGTCTTCCCACACAACTATACAAGGCATCGTTCCCATCTGCACCAATCTCTCACCATCACTACTCTCCCCCTCTCGCCATACCGCCAACATTTGACGAGTCACTAGAGGGTGGGTGTAGTATGGCTCGAACACTCTAAAAGTCACATCCATACTTACAAACAGTCTCTTCTCTATTGGGCTACAACAAACATACCCCTTATGAGTGGATGGATAACCCACAAAAAATACACTACACAGCTCTGAGATCCAGCTTTCTTATTGATGATCTATTATCCTTTATCAAGCATTCAGAACTGAATGCTTTCAAGGGAACGATCACACTATTATCTTCTTTCAACAAGGCGTAAGGAGATCACCACTCAAACACCCTTGAGGGCATTCTGTTGATCAATTGAGCGGTTGTCAAAACAACTTGCTTATCACAAATGTTTTGGGACATTCATCGAGATCATCATGCTTCTGACTACCTTTAGAAGGTGTCTATTCTTCTTGTCTGCTACTCCGTTTTGTGTCGATGTGTATGGATAAGTGGTTTGATGTTGTATCCTTGGGCTGATAAATGCTCCTCAAACGTCTTGTTGGTATATTGTCCCGTTATCAGAGCCAATACCTTCACTACTACACCGTATTGAGTCTTAATTGCCCTATGAAAATCTTTAAAGTAAGCAAACACATCATTTTTATTTTTCATCAGATATAACCATGTAACACAAGAAAAATAATTAATGAAAGTCACAAAATATCTGTAGTCATTCATCAAAGTTATAGAATAAGGTCCCCATACACTTGAGTGTACCAAATAAATAACACAAGAACTCCTATATCCAGAACTAACATAAGAGCTTCTAGTGTGCTTACCAAACTCACATGCATCACACACAATTTTTTGTTTATTTACCTTTTCATACAAAGATTGATACAAATGATTCAACAAACCAAATGAATAGTCTCCAATGCGCTTGTGTTGTAAAAAAAACACATCTTCCACACTCCTCCCAGATCCTCCTCTCCAACACTCTCTGTTATGGATGTCAAGATTGAGCCAATCCATTTTTTATCTAAGTACCAGAGTCCACCATGCCATGTGTCAGTCCCAAATCTCCGATCAGTCCCCTTCTCTTGAAAAATCAACTTAGGAAATATAAAAAAAAACATCACATTTTAAGTTGGAGTATCATGACACTAATGAATAAAATGTTCACTGGAAAGGAAAGAACATGCAAAACATTGAACATAGTTATAGAATTGATACATTTTACTATACACTTACCAGCCACAGACTGTGTTGTACCATTAACAATCTGAATGTTTTCTGAAACTGCTAGGTGAATATATGAACTCACTACCAACACCTATCATATGCCGAGATGCACCAAAATTTACTATCCATTATGGCGATCTTGTGGTGGATATAGAGACAATAATATGTGTATCACGATTACCTTTGGCTTAGGGAGCATAAGTAGCAGTATTTCCCTTGGATGATGATAAGGTGGATGCATCATCAGTCACATCACATGCTGCTCTCTGCTTTCTCTTCAATATCTCTAAAAGCTTGTGATCCTCGTCGGTAAAGGCCACCCTGTCTCACCCTCATTCTCCACTACCATCAATATCACCCGGTAGCCCCCTTTTCCCCTTTGGTCCCAACGATTATGACCATAGCCTTTAGACTGACCAAGTCCACCAGTCTCTCCCTCCTTGGGTGGCTTTAGACAAGCCTTGCTCAAGTGTCCCACTTCTCCATAGTTGTATCACCTGAGGGTCTCTTTCTGGGCACCTGTCATACCTGAGCTCGAGATGTGCGTGGAAGTCCACTCATCTCAGAGTGTAGCTTCATGCGACTCTCTTCCTGCAACATCGCGGCGATGGCTTCATCCAGTGAAGGAATCGTTGCCTAGGCTAGAGGACTGATCTCCTCTAATAAAAAACCGGGTTTAGATGAGCCAGAAACTGCATAGTTCTCATCTGTGCAAAGATCTCCCTCTTTTTACAACCCGGATCATCACAACTTGACATAGGTGATTAAGATCTTGACACAGCCACTCCAGCTCTATGGAGTACTCCTGAATCTGAAACACTCTCATGTGGTTCTCAGCCCCATCATAGGTTCTCTTCAGCTTTGCCCAAATATCATTCACCTTCCGAAAGACATCCACTGATGTCACAATCGATAGAACCATCAAATTGAGTAGCCACGTGTAAATCAATGAATGTGTATTCCTCCCCTCACCACTCTCAACACTGCCACTCTTTGGCTCGACTTTCGTCAAGTATCCTTCTAGCCTCTCCTCTACTAGAGCAGTCTCGATCCGACGCGGTCAACTTAGATATGTGGCCGGTCCATCGAGCTTCAGATCCATAGGAGGGAGATCTAGTTTCATCTACGTCGGAGCACGTTCGGAGGTAGTGGCTTCCGTCGAAATGCTAGTTTCCTGTATGAGCTTGATCAAGACCTTCAGAACTTTAGGATCTACCTTCCCCAAAAGTTTTAATCTTTTACCTCCCATAATATCTGCGTCGCTTGACATCCTCAGTCACAAGGATCCAAATTTTTGTACACAACGATTCCTTTGTTCTGTCTCCACTGCACAAAGCCGAAAGCCCGCATCACTTTTGTTCGGTATAGTTGCAAGCATTACAAAATTCCCCCGCTTTCTACCGCACAAGCCTTCCTTTCCTTGTGTTCGCTTGATTCAAACACGACATGCATACTTTCTCCTCCACCGAAGTCTTCTTCCATCCGGACGTAACCCACACTGTTGCCTCTTCGAACTCCTCGGGCTCCAAAAACCACGCCTTCGACTTCTGCAATTCGCGATCCTTTCTCCAACTGCAAAAGCCAACATTTCTGTTTCTCATTAGAAGTACATTTACGGTTAGAGCCAGTCAAGAAGGAAACAACTAAATCTTGCCATTCTGAGACCTCTGAAACTCCCCGTACTGAAATATTTTGCTCCTTTGCGTGACTAGAGTCGACGCCCCCTACTCGCATCGAGAAGTTTCAACCCACTAAGCATAGCTAGCGAGGGAAGCAACAACAGGATCGCATCATAGAAGGACCGCGAAGCTCCATTTTTCTCGTCGTCTGCTCGCACCGCACAAGGATTCCCGAAACTTTGGCGGCTATGATACCATAAAGAATTGTTTTGAGGTAAAAAAAACCTAATTCATTTCATTAACACTTGGGCTTATATAGAGCCTTGCAACTTATATAGAGCCTTGAACATTTACAAATAAATCCCTAGACTTCTTCTATTTACAGATAGAACCCTACATTAGATACAAATCTCAACAAAATAAATCATACATGATACTTTCTCTAGTTGACATTACTAATTTCTTGAATTGGAAGATTATATGCTTAAGTATGATTTCATAGAATTTTTTGAGAATCTAGCGTAACATTTGTTTTCTTCTACACAAGCCTGCTGATTGAGACCTTCTCATTTTCTTTTCTTCTTTTCCCCCTCTTGGATTACCTTTGAATTGCTAGATTCTCTTATTGGAATTGCTAGATTCTCTTATTGAACTCTCCCCTTAGGATATGAGAGCATTGAAGATAAAAAGTTTAGAGAGAAAAGGAAGGGGAAGGTCTTTATGAGGAAGAGAAACCAAGGGCTTGCTTAGGGATTCACAATTATGAGAGATCCCATGTAAAGATCCTACCGATACACATCCAGGAGATCAATTTTGTATTATTCTTTCTCATGAATTTTTTTATGTATAGTTGGAAAAGAGCAAAACGCAAATTATGGAGGTCAACGTGAGAGTCTAAAATCTTTCATTTTAGTAGATCTAAAACAAAATACATGTAATATAATTTTGTAGTAATAAATCCAGTGACTAGATTGTAACAATGCGTGATCAAGTCTTTAAAAG